CACTCTGGAGCCACAACACATTGGAAAAAACACAGTGTATCGCGACTTGTCTACCTTTTCGCGCACTTTGATCTTCTTTCTTCTTGCCCTCTGTTCTCTGACTCTTTCTCTTCTCTGACTATTCTCACAACTGTTGCTCCATCTGTCCATAAGTGTCAAGTTTGACTTCTAAACTTCCTTAGATAATGGTTAATGGCGGTATATCACTAGGATATTTTGGCAGTACCTTATCTCAAATGGTCTGAAAACCATCAATGACACTCCGTCTTGTCGCCATGAACTGAGGAAGCTGCGCTAGAAGAACGTTTGCAACTCAGCCGGACTCGCTGCACTTTTGATGACTTGATGAACTTGCTGACAGAAGAAGTTGGCAGATGTGAACGAATGGATGATATGTGGGTGATCTCCAAGGCCATTTGGGTCCGATCTTTGTAACGATGAGAGACAACCTTGGAATTTTCCTAAAACTCTGAGATGGTTCTTCTCTTTTCTTCTGAGAGCTTCCAGATTTTGCGACACTGCTTTGGACTTCATCAACAGCAGGTTTTGCTCCTGTCAAGTGTGTAATTCAAGATATTTCAATTTCAAAAAGGCCCTAGGACAATTGGGAAGGGCGACTCCCCTTGAATTCCGGTGGCATAAAGAGTGGCAGAAAACCATCCAATTCTTCCGGCAGAAAACCATCCAACCTGGGGATTTTTTCAGCTGGCGAGCCATGGTATCGAGAAGACCTGAGGTCGAGCTCTGCCGAAGTATTCGGAGTTGGCCACCAAGCGGGAGGTCTGGGGATTGGCTCATGAGCTGATGATGGGCAGGGGAGATGAAATACATCATGACCTATTCTAAGAACCTAGAGCTATATATATATATATATATATATATATGGACACACTTTGCCATCAACTTCACGTGAATGGGGGGAGAACACACATACACACACACCCCAACAGTTGGGATATCAATCACTAAAAAAGGGGATGGATAGAATCATTTCTAGTAAGGATCCAACTGGGTCAACTTGGAGATTGTTCTCCAAACTGAGCAGTTGCCTTTGACCCGTTGATGGTGGAAGCTGCAGCCTGATGCTACCAGGAATTGTGAGTGTGATCTGATCACTATTGCAAGCCATGAACAGCAATCCTGACGAAGCAACCAGTAGAACCAATCACAAGTTTCTGAACTTGTACATGCCCAAATCACTCAGGATGACTCCAAAAAGGTTTGGATTTGCAGAGGATGGGGTTTGAGGCTGCAAATCATGTCCACAAGCTTCATCACATCAGACAGACCGGTCGGCCGTTTTGCATGGCGCGCTTCCATGAGCTTTTGCGAGCTGTGGCTCGGGTAAGTGAATTGAAGGCCGTCCAGAGTTCTTGGGGCTTCGTCAAAGGTTTCCACGAAGCGGTTCAGAAGAAATTCTTCGAGGGGGAGGCACCGGCCATGTACCGCTTGAAAGGCAACAAGTATTCCCATCACTACGGTGCACCGAAGCGGAGTAACAAGGCTCCCAATGTTGCGCCGTACCTGGCTGCCGCAGTCATTGCTGGCATGGGTGTGTTTTTCATTGTGCTCCCCATCAGCTTCAACCGAAGCTATGCTGCTTCGAAGCAAAGATATGAGGCTTTTGCCAAGGACAACGCCGACATCTTGGAGCGACAGTTTGACAGGGGGCAGTTCGCACGAGAAGGACGTCCCAAAGTCTGAGGCGCCATACTGTAGCGGTTCGGTCATGTCATGGCGACGCAGCCACATTGTGTATGTGAGCGTTTGACAAGCAGGTGCCTCGGAAAAAGTGGGAGTCAAGCGAAGAATTTGGGTTCTATGACCTCAATAAGGTACAGACACAATTTTCCTCAAGCTGAGCCAGGCGCTTCCTGCTTTCAAACAACGGGAACAAGTTGCTGGCATCTCAGTGACTGACCCCCTGGTGACACTTGAAGACATCGAGTGGCGTAGGCCAATTGTGCCAGGTAACCACGTTGTCCCAGAAGTTTTTCTTGAATGACAATGCGACCCAGCCTTGACTTCTATTGTGTCGCTCAAAATGGCAATGGAAATCCGATTCCCATCAGATTTCACCACGAATCAACAAAAAATCATTTCAGGGCTTTTTGTCCTCAGCTTTCGAAGCTAAAAAATTGTCCCACTTCTCCAAGCCATCATTTCAGGGTCGGGGCCGCACGTTCCGACGTTCCGAGATCAGCACGGTGAAGGAGAATCAGGTGGTACTTCTGAGTGGCGAGACTGGATGTGGCAAGTCCACACAGGTGACACATTTTGAAAGGGAAGGGCATGGAAGGGTGAAAATGTCACCAGGGGCGAAGAAAGAAATTAAACATATGGGTATGGGTCAATACCTATAGATACATTTTTAGTGGGATGAACATCCATTTACCAGCTATTTTGGGGTTCACTAGGTACCAGGGTTTTGACCCATCCCCATATTTTGACATATTTGGGGGTTTCATGATCAGAAATGCGATGCATCAAGATCATCAAGCATGAACAAAAATGTGAAACAATGTGAAAAAAACATCAAAGGTTGGGATTGGACGGATTGGATGAGCATAAATGGGATTCAACTTTGATTCAACCATGAAACATGGAGATTTGGTCAAGGGAGGGAATTTAATGGATCAAATGGATGATCAAATGGATGATCAAATGGATGATTTTATATGATATTATATGCCTATTGCCAGGTTTGATTTATCTGTTTCAGTTTAATACTCAAATAACATGACGGACACTCTTGGGCCTCACACTGAAACTCTTGATTCGATCGTTACATGTTTAGCAGCTTTGTGGGTAAGACAGTCCAGATGTATATTAAGGAATCGTCATGTGGCTGTTCAAGTTCTACAATGTTCAAACAAGACAGGAAGGACGACTTGGGCCCGATAGGTTCCTCAACTCATCCTGGACGCTGCTCCGGAGGCTCCTGTCTTGACCCTGAGAGAGCAAACTGCATATGCAAAATTATTCAAATACGTATTGGGACTAGGTCACTAGGTTGGACAATTTCAATATGTTTTTTCTGACACTGTTTGAAGTACTTTAATTGGGCAGTCCTTTTCCGGTTTTCTTTGCTTTGTCGTTCTGAGCTGTCCGAAGCAACTCAGATATTAATTGGGTTGAAAAGCAGATAAAGTGCATTGTTACAAAGGACCAATTTGCCAATGCCCCAGCACTTTTGGATTGATGATCAGGCCCAAAACCAAGGACATGTGCCCTGCACATGTTAGATGAAAGCTGTTATATTCAGCATCATCAACTCATCAACCCTTGCAAACTCAACGCTAGAAGTCAACCATTGCCCGGCCCATAAAAATATGGGTATACAGTGGGAGTCACAACCCTCATTCCCTGGCGCCAGGTGGGATTGGCCCAGACTTGACATCCCGAATTGCACATTGATGCCTTTGTCTGCAAGATTGATGATTCATGATGTTATTTTTTTAAAGAAGCCGGGGATTTCAGCTTCCTCCAGATATTTCAATATAAAGAAAGACGAGCCATGGGTCTATTCGTCCCCCTATTCTTGGTGCTTCCATCAATTAGACGGTAAAATTCGGCATTTTTGGTGGTTAAATCTCAATTATTGATGCTTAACTTACCATTTTTGGTTAAATCCAGATCCCTGAGCCAAACCCATATCATTTCACTTCGCCCTTGTGGAAAAAACGGCCATGGGCAGCACCTGTGCCCATTCTCGTTGCTGTGGCCTTTGTGATGGGGATGCAGCTGTGGATGCCCCAACAGATGTGGGCAGGCCTAACCAGGTGCGCCAGTGGACTTGATCTGGGCTACCTAAATACTTTTCAGGGCGGATCTGACATGTTCTGTTTTCTTTGGGGGCAAGTGAATCAAGTGATCATTTTGACACCTGGGCTCTCCAAGTTTCAGAAACTTTTATTGTTGCGATTATTTTGATCAACACATGTTTTGGACACCGCAACTCAGATGTAATTGCCCGTCTTGATTCGGTACCGTGTTTTCTCCCAAAAAAGGCAATTGTTTGTTCGACATCTTTTTTTTGGTATAGTTAAAGAGTTAAAGACACATCTCATATACATTACATCTATGCAATATGATGTGTTCATTATATGAATATATATAATATATACATATATATCTCCGTCAAGGCTTTTCTACTGCTGTTGTTTAGGGGTAAATCCACAAGTTTTTAGACAAACCCATTTCCATGATTCATTAGTTAAATCCTGATTGTTGATTGCCAAACCCCGTCATTTTGATTGGCAAATACCAGTTTCTAATGGCTAGATCTCATTAGTGATGGTTCAATTCCCATTTTTGATCGTTAAATCCACATTTTCGTGGTTAAATCCCTCCATTTTGGTTGTCTCAGCCACCCCAAAAATGCGGCCACACCCGCGAAAAAATTGAGGCCTCCAGTCCCCGGATCTTGCGCTTGGCGATCTTACAGCACGGTGAGCGAGCAGATCAGGCCAACCCAAAGATGTGGTTCCCTGGCCGCCAGGGGAAATCCACTCATTAGTGGCCATTGAACTGAATTTATTGAAAGTAAGTATCATATTTTTCAGGTATGTATAGGGCTATGTTAGGGGATATAGCCCCTAAATCAGGCTTGAAAAATGGTACCTGAAATGCCTGAAATGGCCATTGAACTGATGAATGGTGCTATGGTGGATGATATGGTGGGAGAACAGATGATGCCTTTTGCGATGAATGGAGGAACATGAAATGTCTTGCCAAAGGTTCACTTTTTTTTTCTGGGTGTCTAAGGCGAGTTATGATTTGCCTCGCTGAACTTTGCCACCATTTTTTTTCCAGCTTGGAACCCTCAAATCAAGATTAGGATCTGAAACCAATCTGAGATTTCAAGTGCCTTTAGGAAGCCTCCACTTTGCTGATCACAGTATTTCGTACTTCAGATGGTACCTGGGTAGTCAAAATGAGGTGAGGCGTTCGCTTGTGCCGCTTTTTTTTGCGTCGCTTGTGCCGCTTTTTTTTGTGTCGCTTGTGCCGCTTTTTATTTGGTATCGGCATTTTTCCTGTAAATTACCGTATAAAATGGTGTTTTGACGTGTTGCTTTTTTGACGTCGCTTGTGCCGCTTTTTACTTGGCGTCGGGTTTTGACCTGTAAATTTGCGTACAAAGTGACTCTTTTGCGCTTGTTGTTTTTGCTGTCGTTTGTGCGGCTGTGTAGTGGCATCGGTATTTTACCTGTAAATTTCCGTATAAAAGTGGCGCTTGTGTGCTTGCACGTCGACGGTTTTGCTCTCCCTCTACGCAATCCTTTTCACCCCACCCTACGGGTAACTGATCATGAAAGAGCAGTGCGTGTAAGTGCTCTACAGCAAGAAAGATGATGAGGTTGCTGTGCGTGTGCAGGCATAGGAACATGAACCTTATTGACTCACCCCACCCCACCGGTAACTGATCATGAAAGAGCTGTGCCTGTCTCTTCTCAACAGCAAGAAAGATGATGAGGTTGCTGTGCCTGTGTGTGCATAGGAACATGAACGTTATCATCCCACCCCACCCCACCCCACCCCACCCCCACCCCCCCCACCCCACGGGCAACTGATCATGAAAGAGCAGTGCGTGTAAGTGCTCTACAGCAAGAAAGATGATGAGGTTGCTGTGCGTGTGCAGGCATAGGAACATGAACCTTATTAACTCACCCCACCCCACCGGTAACTGATCATGAAAGAGCTGTGCCTGTCTCTTCCTCAACAGCAAGAAAGATGATGAGGTTGCTGTGCCTGTGTGTGCATAGGAACATGAACGTTATCATCCCACCCCACCCCCCCCCCACCCCCCCAACCCCCCCCCACCCACCCCACCCCACTGGAACATGAAAGAGAGAGGTTTATCTTGCTCTGAGGATCGTTTTTTGCATTTCGTGGAAGCGCAAGTTCGTGGAAATTTACAGGTAATCAGAGGTTTTTCGGCGCAAGTGATGTCGAAAATGTGTAGGGGTAATTTTCGGCGTAAGTGACCTTAAAAATTTCGGCGTAAGTGAACGTGGGACCAACCAAAATGATCTAAATGTAAATATCAGTTCATGGCATCCGGAGTTTCCTGTGCTCCGTGTCCCAGGTTTGAATCGATGCTGGGTCGAAGATATCCCTTTGACCCTCCCTTGACTCTGACGGGTGCCAAACAAGCGAAGTCTGTGGCTAAGGAACTGTGGGATGGGGCGACCGTAGCGTCACGGCTGGGCCAAAGACCAGAGGTTTGCCATGATTTGGCCACAGTATTTTGGGACACTTAATTTTTTTCAATATTTTTTTCATATCTGTTCCATTTCTTCACTTCGGAAGTGGATCAGGAGCTCTTTGCCAAGTACGGCGATTTTTCCGTGGTGGTCTCATCACCCTTCATCAGGTGCTGGATTGACACCCAAAGATGGGTTTTCTGGGGAGGCACAAAAAGTCAAAAAGAATGGTGGATTTACATTGGATTTACTGGAGTGTACCACAAGTTTTGGCAATTTTCAGTGGGAAAATGATGATCTATGATGAAGATTGATGAATCATGGGATTTCGAGAAAACAAATGATAAACCATGGAATCGAATGGGGTTTTCCCATCATTTTCCACCAACCCTCACTTCTGGCAGGTGCATCGAAACTGCGGTGGAGATTTGCCGTGTTTTCAATTGTGGCTTATGCATCGATCGACAACTCGGTGGCCTGGGACGTGGAAGTAACAGATCCGTTGCGGTCTGCCGGTGGAACTATGATGGGGTATGCTCCGTTTATATCGTCAGGATTTGTATGCATTATATGTTCGTACTGGCGGTAGTGAGTTCCTCATCTACGTTGCTTAAATCACCAGAAAGCATCATTTGCCCAACAGTGTGCTGGCGAACTTGAGATGGGAAGATCCACCGACAATCCCCGCTTGTTCCTCCAACCATGGTGGTTGAGCAACTCTATTGTGTTGGTCAAAATATACATTTTTCTGAGTTGTTGGCTGCAGGGTTCAACCTCCCCATCTTTATTGGTGAAAAGCAGAATTCACGGCTTGTGTTGGTTGAAGTCCAACTTGGGTCGCCTAAACTCCAATTCATTCCCATGATATAACATTATATACATAACATTATATCCCATTATATCCCATTATATCCCCATCATTTCTTGGTTGAAGTCAATTTGAGGTTGTTGAAAGGTCGCAAAGCTCCCCGTCGCAGGTGAGGTCTTCTCCCCTGCCTACTTCGGCCCTTGGGACTTGCCGGGTCCCAAAATGCGCAGCCCTGAAGAGATTTGCGCATACGTGCCCAACGATGTGAGGAGGGCTGATTTCAGCAAATCTTGAAGCAGCCTTTTCATATTTTTCATGTCAAGTGTTGTGAAATGTATGATGCAGGTGATGTAATTAAGTTTGCGATCACCATCATTTATCCTTCATCACATTTCGTCACATTTCGTAGATGGTCACGCTGTATTTCAAGTTGGTTTGATTTCGGGATCTCTGTGATCGTCCAAGCTGCCCTGTGGGGTCCTCAGCCCCGGCATCGTTTCTTGCAGGATTGTTGGGGTGGGCGATGACGAAGGGTCCAAGAGCAACGCGGAAGGCTTCATAGGTTCCTGGTCAATGGATGAATCTGAGGTGTGTCTGAAATGGGGAACCATGGGGAACCATCGGGAACCATTGGTTTCCCCATTAAAAACAACAATTTTTGGATGATTTTTTGGGTTCCCATGAGCCCATATAGTCAGGACTGCTGCATTGACAACCAACATGTCATGCGCTGGGTTCGATCATATTTGATTCGAATTTCACCCAAAAGGCTCAACCTTCATATATAGCCCGTTGCCTGACAATCTCTAATCCACTCTTGTCCTTTTGTCGCTCAGATGCCAGGATTCTCCTCACTGGCGAAAGGGGCACTGGCTTTGATTGTTCATGCACTCCCCAACTGCACTCCAGTTGTGGTGTATAATGATACATTTGTGATGATATATACATACGTACCTACGCCCCAATGAGTCTGAGTCGGGGGTGCTCGTTGAGGCACCACCCCCCAGTGGCCGGAGAAGAATGGCAAACTGCGGCTGGCGATCCGCGTGGAACAGCTGTCTGAGAAGGTGGATGCTGAAATGCCATGGGAGTTTAGGCATGAAAGATCGGGCTTCAAAGCTACACGTGGCGTTTAGCCAAAGATAAAATGGGTAAAGCAGTTGGGAATACGAAATGATGCCCTTGGTTGATGCTGACAATATGAGGGTATAAGTGTTGTACTGATAGAAATTGGTTTCTTGGGGATTATAGACGAATATGGGAACCCTGACCTGAAATGAACCAGTAGGTTTGAGGGTGACAGAGGGTTTTGGGCACTGTTCAGACAGTCTATGTGTATACTATGTATACAGCCACATCTAATATATAATATACGCAGGCTTAGCCAACAACAAAATATATCTAGATGAACCAACCAAACTATGGGAAAGTGTTCATCAAGAGTGCAGGCCACCACCAAGAATGCTGCGAATTTGACTCCCATGACAAAGGTTGATTCTTGGGGAGCTCCAGGGAGTGATTTGGCTGTGCTGGTTTCGGCAAGAAGCTGAGGGATGATTGGTGATCAGCCAAAGGGAGTTCAAGCAATCAGGCTTCCTCCAAGCAGTTTTGTTGGTTCCATCCCCATACTTTTCTCTTGCCTCTCGAGCCAGGCAGGAAAGTTGGGCGGTGCCAATTTGGTCTTGGTGACGCATGGTGATTGCGTGGCAGGCATGTGTGTCTGGGCCGCTTGGAAATCCTCACATTCTGTGGCCTGAACACTCTACGCTTGCTTGAAGGTGTATTCAGATGTCTTCAGTACTTGAAAATCCATTCAGAAATCCATTCAGAAATCCACTCAGAAATCCATTCAGAAATCCATTCAGAAATCCATTCAGAAATCCATTCAGAAATCCATTCAGAAATCCATTCAGAAATCCATTCAGAAATCCATTCAGAAATCCACTCAGAAATCCATAAGTCATTAAAACAATCCATAAGAAAGTCCATGGCCCGAAACCGTCGCCGATCGCCAGGATGTTTGGCCCTCGCCAGCACCAAGGCCGAGCTGACAGCCCCGGTGGTGTCCAAGGTGCCCCGGTGTCATGAAACATGGCTATAGATGGGAAGTTCCCGAACTAAATGGATGTTTTACTAGGAAAACCATCAAAAAAATGGGGGGATTTTCCATTGCATGTTGGATTACTGGAGGGATCCGGAGGGTAAGATCATGTAAGGATGAGAAATGCGAAGCTTCTCTGTCCTGAAGGGTGAGAATGTGCCCATTTGCCAGGGGCCGTATTGTGGCTTTGTGGTTCTGGAACGACACTGGGCGTGAATGCGCAGATTCCTTTTGTGCCAGAAATAGTGATGGCAGGGCAACTGATTGGCCCGCCTTTCACCAACTCTTAATATTTCTTGATTCAGTTCAAACAGCGACAATTTGTTAGAATTTGTTGTTCCCGTTGTTCCCGAGCCCTTTGGCTTGGGGCCAATGAAGCGCCAGAGTCAGAGATGCAGCAGCTTGAGGCCCATTCCAAGCAGATGAGCCGCCCAAGAGCCTGTTGGATCCCGCTGCTGGTTGGAATGTATACAACGGCCACAACGAGGTCACGCTGCTTTTTTTTGGTGGCTAAAACTGGCTGAAACTGCATGGTCTTTATGTATACTGTGTATACTCCCAATCCAGGTCTCGGTATTTCTTGGCTGCAAACAGCATGGAACATCCAGGCGATAATGGGGCTCTGAGAATCCATATAAGAAATCTAATTCATAGCTGTTTCAGCAGGAGAACGACCAATTTTGTGGCGGTCGCGGTCATGGGTTTGGTCCAGGTGCTCTACCGAAACTCGCAGCAACTTTCCACCTGGAGCCCGGTGACGGAGAAGAAGGCAGCGCAACTGCAGAGCTTGGCCAAAGACTTGGCAAAGCGAAACCAGACACAGGCGGTCGAAATAGAGGAGGTCGGCCAAAAGGGGCAGTTCTGGGATGGGGTTGGAGCTAAATCACCAATGCCGAAAGAGTCGGTAAAAAGCCAAAAACTGCAGGGAGCTCTTTAGGGGGCTCAAAACTGAATACTCAGCGAGCGTATTTGACAATGGAGAGGCCCCCAACCAAAATGGTGTCTTGGGCAGATGTCATCTCTGTTGCTCAGCTGATTGGCTCCCTGGTGTGCAAGGAGACCACAGAGAGCCCGCGACGGCGACAAAAGCGGCAAACCACCTTGATATTGGAAAACGAGTTGCATCTTGGATTCTGCAGAAGGGGTACTTGTAGAAAGGCATATGGGAAAATGGCTTTGGTTAAATGTCACTGCAACTTGAACGGTTCAATACTCCAGCCTTTATACAGCCTTCTGTGTATCCTCTTCAGGACCTTACGGAGAGCGAAAAAACTTCTGGAGTCGCAGCAGGAGGCGAAGCCGGGCTTCTGACATGGCAGGGATCGCTATTGAGCGAAACAAAGCCCGGTTGATTGATGGTTATAAGTTATATTGTATCCTACTAACGGTTACTAATGCTTGTGTACAGAGGTATGGATACATACACAATTTGATATACACATATACCTATATGTCTATACATAGATTATATACATGAATGTATATGCACGTATATACACGTATATACACGTATAGACACGTATATGCATGTACATATGTAGATATGTGTTTTTGTATTATTGTATTATTGTATTTTTGAACTATTGAATTATTGTATACATATATATATTATATATATGCTGTATATATTATTGTATATATGCTGTATATATTGTTGTATGTATGCTGTATATATTATTGTATATATGCCGTATATATTCTGTATATATATATATGCAGTATATATGTATATATGTATATATATATATATGTATATATATATATATATGTAAAATTGTATATATGTATACATGTAAATATGTACATATGTGTATATGCATATTTGTATATGTATATATATATATGTATGTATGTACATAGGTCTATATGCGTATATGTATATTATATGTATATTATATGTATATTATATGTATATTATATGTATATTATATGTATATTATATGTATATTATATGTATATTATATGTATATTATATGTATATATATATATATGCGTGTCTATATGTCTATATGCCAATATGTCTGCATATGTATAAATGTAAAAATGTACCTACGTATGTACATATTTTTATACATATACATTGTGCTACATATTTTGTTCCAATCCACTGTGGAAACAAACTATCAACGAGTCAGTGGAAGGGGAAGGGGACAATAGAATATTTTGAGTGCTTTTATTGACCCATCAAAATTGGTACGTTTGTCTTGGGATGTTGAAAACCAATGTTGAATTTTCGGTGATTGTTACCCTGATACTCGGGCTTTGAGACCTGTAACTTGGTAGCTGGATGAAGATCCCACAAAGCTGGACGAGGTCGGACTTCGCCTTCAAGAGCTGCTCCCTGACTTACCACCAGAGCGTTGTATCTCAGGTGGGGTGCATAGATATCCTTCCCACTTGGTTCGGAAAGGAGTACTGTATCCCCTCCGAAAATGGTAAAAGGGGGTTTCTAGGAGGTATAGGTTGGGTGTTGAGAAGGACAAAATGACGCTCCGCAAGAGTGAGTCTTTTGAGACACGGGTTTGTTGGATTTTGTTCATAAGGAAGATGTTTCTGTTGCAAAGTATACGTGAAAAGGAGAATACGGGACAAAATGCATTTGAACATTTAAAACAACGTCTTCAGCAATTGGTCGCCATCAGATGTACAGATCCTATGCCTTCGCCAGATGAAGACAATGACTTCTGGGAACGGTAATGAATTGGTTCAAGGAATAAAACTAGAAGACCAATACAGTAGTCTATTTGTAGTAACAATCTTGTTGATCGAGAAATCATCATAGAATGCCGTACAGAACTGAACCGAGACGGCAACATATATATATATATAGATATACACATACACATATACGTAAAAACAGTGTTGATGAACCGGTATCTTTCGCCAAACACTTTTGGGATGGAACTGGAACTTGAAGAGGATAAGAGGATAAGTTCACAATATCTCACCAAAGATATGACCCAAAGCAACAACAATTGGCGACCTCGTAGAAACAAACAAACATAGTGAAAGTTAACCACATTTCCCCGTTGAACCCCCCACTTGTGGATGTCAAAACCTAAGAACAATCATGGAACATGAATGTAAAAACCTTGACAACCAACATACAAACCCCAGAAACCATGCCCTTGACTATGTTCCAACATATTTTCATATTTTGGAACCATTGAGTGTACCCAGTTTCCCAATGAGGCAGATATTTTTTCGAGAAGGTATCAGATGATTATATATATATACACGCAGAAATGACACAACATGGAATATTTTGTCACCCAGTTTTCCCATCATCCGGAATATACCGACACTAGGATTGGGAAATTTACGATATTTTTTTAAATCACAAACCATCACAACAGTCTACCCCATGGCGACATCACAACAGAAATTCAAAGCCACTGGGGTGTTCTTGACGCGCAACGTTCAGGGGATAGCATCAAGGAATTGGCCGAGTATGCGCGGTCCGAGAGCTTTGATGTTTGAGGCCTCGTGAGATGACGGCTGTTGGGTACCCAAAAAATACAGGGGGGATAAGTACCCCCAAGCAACATAGCTAGGGGAAAGTGGGATTTTCGAAGACCATGGGATGGAATGGGGTACCCAATTTGCAGAAGAACCCATTTCTGTTGGGAAATTGGAATGAAATCTGGCCGGAGACCCATAAACCCAATCTGATTCTTCTGATTGTGTGTCATGTCACCACTTCTGGAATCGTGCTCCCAGATGACTGATGTGAAGGATGAGGCTCAGACGAAGATCAGTGAACTGCGGCTTAGCTCCGAAGGCATTTCTCCCCAGCTGCAGCGTTGGAGCTGCCAGGTCTTCACAATACCTAAAACCATAGCCGCCATAGCCCATTTACCAAATTTAGCAGTTGGGGGAATAGAAAACATATCCCCCAAGAGATATGTATATAAACTGTCAGGTAATCAAACATGGCAATTGAAAATCCTCCGCAAACGTGTTTTGGGCCGCTGAAAGGAGCACCCAGCACAGCATCGATAGAGTGTCCGGTGACATGGAAAGGAGATCCAGGGGACCACGGATTTTAGTTTATTCTTAGTATTATACAACCATCTATTTATTTGGGGACCCAATTTTGACCTATACCCATATAATGTGTATGGTATTCCATCACTTGGGGGCAGTGATGAAAGCCTTAAGATCTCTTGTTTGCAGCTTTTTTGAGGATTCGACATCAGAAAGCTGCATGGAAGCTAGACGCTAGATTGATTATTTCAGGTAGCAAGAAGTTCAACGCTCACTGAACAAACAGTGAGAAGTCATGTCGGGCCACTGTCGAAGCTTCCAGTATCACCCAGGCTCCAAAGTGAGCGAAAGTTTGCGCATGCGAAATGCTGCGGCAACTTTAGTTTCGTTGAAAAAAGACAGCGCTTGGACCTGGGTCAATATTCCACGACACCGAAATCCACAGCTTTTGATCCGCGGTACGCTTCGCAGCCAAATTTCCTTGAACGCCTAGAAGATCCTACAAGTCTCTCGTGTCAAATCAGCTCATCCACAGATCGGGCTTTTCCATTTTGCAACAAATCCATATCTTCCCAGTTTTTGTCGATCGCCAGGCCAAGATCTTGGTGATGCAGCCCCGGAGAATTGCCGCCACCACCCTGGCAGACCCTTGGCTCATGGTTGTTATTGTTAAATAGAATTTGTGAACTATGTGTCCCTTGTTTCACTTGTTGTCTATTTGTTAAATGTCTTTTCTTCTGGATGCTGGGGATATTCTTTGGGCTTATTTTTTTTCCCCAACAGCGTAAGCTAATGGGGTCTTCAGCCCACAATAGCTCCGGTGTGCACTGGTGCAGGCGCCGGGTCAGGTTCAACGAGGTTCCGGAGAAGGTTCCGAAGGTTCCGGAGAAGGTCTAGGAGGCTTTGGTGCAGAGCCAGGTCAGGTTCAACAGGGTTCCGGAGAAGGTTCCGGAGAAGGTTCCGGGAGGCTTTGGTGCAGAGCCAGGTCAGGTTCAACAGGGTTGCGGAGAAGGTTCCCGGAGAAGGTTTGGGAGGCTTTGGTGCAAAGCCTTGTGGGAGGCTTTGGTGCAGAGCCAGGTCAGGTTCAACGGGGTTCCGGAGAAGGTTCCGGAGAAGGTCTGGGAGGCTTTGGTGCAGAGCCGGGTCAGGTTGAACAGGGTTCCGGAGAAGACTCCGGAGAAGGTTTGGTGCAGAGCCAGGTCAGGTTCAAGAGGGTTCCGGGGAAGGTTCCCGGAGAAGGTCTGGGAGGCTTTGGTGCAGACACAGGTCAGGTTCAACAGAAGTTCAGCAGGGTTCCGGAGAAGGTTTCGGAGAAGGTTTGCGAGGCTTTGGTACAGAGCCAGGTCAAGTTCAACAGGGTTCCGGAGAAGGTTCCGGAGAAGGTTCCGGAGAAGGTTCTGGAGAAGGTTCCGGAGAAGGTTTCGGAGAAGGTTCCGGGAGGCTTTGGCGCAGAGCCAGGTCAGGTTCAACGGGCTCCGGAAGGTTGCCACAGAAGGTTTTGGGAATCTTTAGTGAAGGGCAAGGTCAGGTTCAACGGGTTCAATAGGGTTTCCAGCGCTTGGCTTCGCAGCACGCTTCAGAATGATTTGTAAAAATCAAACGTTGCGGCTGTTGAGGATGCCACCGAAGCTTATTTTCCTATGGTTAACTAAAAAATCACAAAGACCATTTACATTCATGATGGTTAACTTGAACATCGAAAACAATTGGTATTGTTTTACGGGCGACCTATGAAGACATACTCCAGTGATATTTTGAGGACGAACCCAGTGGGGTGTCTTGGTGTGTCTTGGCGAGGAACGCATCGCAGTCGAAAGATGCCAGCGCTTGGGCGTGGACGTGGGATACCAGGCCTGGGCTCGGGAGTCGAATCGTCAAGGGCAGGGAATCTGCTGATGAACTCCACGGTCAACACCGATGTTTTTTTTTACAAAATGGTCCCTTGAACATATTCTGCAATCCATATTTTTGAGAGATGCATTTCCATCAAAGTGGTTGGGTACCCCCCCAAAATGACAAGTGCTGTACACCGAGCTGCGGGGTTCCAGGTGCCCAGTGCCTCGCAGTCGGAGAACGCCCGGTTGGTTTTTTGCACCCTGGGGGCTCCTTGGATCAACGCGTCAAAAAACACTTGGGGATGTTCATTTGCATCGTGTAACAAAAAACAACATATGCAACCGATGTACCCTAAGAAAAACTTGAAACTTGGGGATATCCATTTGCATTTGACGTCATCAACTTCAGGATTTCAATGCATAAGTAGCAAGTTTCGCTGCCAACAGAGGGGTGGACAGATGGATATACCACTTGAGTCCGGTTAGAACAATGGAATCGCCCGAGTGGAGGGAGTCTCAGTTGGGGAAATGTATTTTTCGCCGCATCTACATTCGATGTTTTATTTCCATGTAAGTGACATTCCTGTGTGTTTGCATAATACATGCTGTGAATACCCAAGGCACTTGTGTCACATGTGGCTAGAGAAAGCAGAGAATTTGCGTCACATTTGGGATTCCTTTGATCAGCAAATCATTCCCTTCGCACCTGAGTGGCCAGTTCCCCCTGCGGCTGGTTGATGGTCTGGGGTTGTAGTGCAAGGTTTTTCCTTCACCTCCACAATTTTGTCCATTTGCAATGGAACATGCCCAACTTGTAGATGACTTTCTCATTCTAGACTTGGGATTGTCCAGAGTCAGATTAAAGGAGGCTCATATCAAATTTGTTTGGTCATACCCCCGATTTTCCATGAGAGGCACTCATATCTATCCTTGGGCTCTCTCCTTCTCCATGGGTCCGAGGTGTTTCGGAGGAGGCTGCTCCTTGACCCAGATTTGGTGGGTGTGACCCACATCATTTTTGACGAGGTGTGGGGTCCAAGGGTTGGACCTTTTATGGGATTGACCAACTAGCTTGGATACTCCACAAAATGGACATTGCCCAATATTTATCTGGGTAAAATATAACGACCTCACTGCGACCTCACTGGAATCATAGTTAGTAAGGGGAATCATCCCCAAATGGCCTTAATTCAGGTTAGTGAAATATTATAATTTACCCAGATTTATGTGTTCCACGGATTCCACGGTCGCAGTTTTTGAATCATACCCAGCTGTTGGAGTTGGGATTGAAGCAACCGCTAGAGTTGGCAGGTCACGCTCAGTCTCAAATCAATAGAGACCATATGACAGCAGGGACCGGCACGACGTGGGTTTGCATCAAGTTGATAAAGGTGCATTGATTGCCAACAGTACATTTACCTCCTGTCATGAAACACAAAGAAATGACAAACATGGTCCGGAAGGCAACATGATGGGAACAATGGATAGAATCTGCTTGTTGGTTTCCGATATGGGCATTTCACACCTGCGAGGGAACACCCAAGCGACCTCGCGGCGACCGCAATAGATGATGGTTTCTATACGGGGAATCATCCCTAAGACTTCACTTTTCATTTTGAGCGTGATATTCCCGGACACAAAGACGAAGCAAGTATCCAGAATTGTCGCAAGCCCTGCTTCTATCTGAGATGAAGCTGGCAAATTACCGATTTTGGTGACTCTGAATTGAAAACACTTTGCCATAACTTCAATCCGAGTCTCCAATATTAAAGAGCAATTTGCCCACATCAGGCTTTGTGGTAAGATGATGTAAGATGCCCCAACATCCAAAGGTTTAGAACGTCGTTTTTCCATGTTTTTCCCACTTAGATGGCCATAACGTGGTGTTTTTTCCAAATGGCATTTTCAGACCAACCAGGTTCATGAGCGAGACAAGTTGGCGGACTTCAACATGCTGGGGGCCTGGAAAAAGATGGAGCCCTACAGCTGTTTCAAGGAGACATGGTCCAGGTTATATATATATATATTATATAATGTATATATATATGATATATTATACATTGGTTTATGGATTTAGATATTGGCCCTTACGGCAATAAATCTTCTATTTCTGTTGCTGTTGTTCAATCTGTGATGACAGGATTTCCTATCGACCCACGAGAACGACACCACAAAATGGCCCCATATCGCAGTTGGAAAAAACAACTGGAGCAAGACTCATTCTGGAAAGAAAAGCTTCCCCAGCTATCCGTCTCAAACTATGTTGGGATCGTTCAGTCACCACTCTGACCCTGATGTTTCAGACAGTTCCCTGCACTGCTGGCGAAAGTTTACGATTAATGCGCTCATCTCATGCACACAGACAGTCCCAAAACTTGCAAGCTGCTTCCGCACACGCCATCACCATCACCGTCACCATCACGATCATCACGACCGCCATGATGATCACGATCATCACGATGATCATCATGATCACGATCACCGTTGTCTTGATCACCTTTTCAACATCATTTGTCATCATTTTTTCAAAAGAAAACAGGTCTATGTAGATCCGATGCCGAGGATTGTAGTCAGGGACTTGCTGGCACGACGGAGTGACCTTAGGCCGCTGAAGTTCGAAGTGGGAATGGGGCAAGATTGGATTGTCTGCGTGCCCTGTATGCCCTGTATATTCAATTATTGCATGTCATGATATGTCCATATATGTTTGAGATCGAACCTGACAATGGTCATCGGCGCCGCGGGAAAATCTCGAATCTCGGATCTCGAATCTCGGATCTCGGATCTCGGATCTCGGATCTCGAATCTCGGATCTCGAATCTCGGATCTCGGATCTCGGATCTCGGATCTCGGATCTCGGATCTCGGATCTCGGATCTCGAATCTCGGATCTCGGATCTCGAATCTCGGATCTCGGATCTCGGATCTCGGATCTCGGATCTCGGATCTCGAATCTCGGATCTCGGATCTCGGATCTCCGATCTCGAATCTCCAATCTCGGATCTCGAATCTCGGATCTCGGATCTCGGATCTCGAATCTCGGATCTCGGATCTCGGATCTCGGATCTCGAATCTCGGATCTCGGATCTCGAATCTCGAATCTCGAATCTTGAACACGAATCTCGAATCTCAGATCTCGTATCTCGGATCTTGGATCGCGAATCTCGAATCTCGGAAGTTGGATTTTAGATCTGGGATCTCGAATCTGAACTTGCCGAAGAGATACCAGTTTTTAGATTCTGCAAGTTCCCTTGGCGAAGATCTTTGTCTGTAGGACATCGTGTGCAAGATGTTCGTGACAGCTTCTGTAGAAGCTGCTGTGCAAGATCCCTTTGCAAGGTTGAAGGCTATTTGTACAAGGTGTCTACAAGAAATCTCCACGCAAGATGTCTGCAGATGTCTTTAAGAGATCTCTAAGTAAGATCTCTGCTCAAGCTCTCTAATCTAGAGGAGATCTCTTAGCAAGATCTCTGTTTTCTGCACAAGGCCTCCGTACAAGATCTTTACAGACTCTACAAGAGGTCGTCTCTTGGCAAGACCTCGTACAAGCTCTCTGAAAAACATATCTCGACAAGCTATCTCGACAAGCTCTGTTTACGAGATCTAATGGCAATATCTTTATAAGAGGTCTCCTGGCAAGATCTCTGCACAAGATCTCTATAGGATATCTCTTGGCAAGATCTCTGTATGAAATCTCTGTACAAACTCTCTTTGGAAGCTTTTTTTTGGCAAGATCTAAGTAAGAGACCTCTTGGCAAGATCTCTGGACAAGCTCCCCATATGAGGTCTCTTGGCAAGATTTCTGAAAGAGATCTCCGTACAAGCTCTCTATAAGAGCTCTCTTGACAAGCTCTTGTCCCCAAAGGCTCACACCTGCTACGAAAAATGGACATAGATTCAACAAAAGTAACACGCCTGCTCAGTACTCGAATGAAAATCTTCTTGCCTGATCTACGGACATTTCTCTCCTGTCTTTCTCTTTGGTACACACAGTCCCAGAAGCGCCATCAAGTGTGAGTGCATCAAGTGTGTGTGTGTGTGCAGGTGCCAGAGAAGATCCTACAGAGTAGCATCATGCGTGTGCAAGTGCACGAGAAGATCCTACAGTGTAACATCAAATGTGCGTGTGTGTATGTATGTGTGTCTGTGTCTGTGTGTGTGCAAGTGCCAGAAAAGATAGGATACTACAGCATTAGCCTCATATGTGTGCGCGTGTGCAAATGCCAGAGAAGATCCTACAGCGTAGCCTCATGTGTGTGCGCATCTGCAAGTGGCAGAGAAGATCCTACAGTGTAGCCTCATGTGTGTGCAAGTGCACGAGAAGATCCTACAGTGTAACATCAAGTGTGTGTGTGTGTATGTGTGTCTGTGTCTGTGTGTGTGCAAGTGCCAGAAAAGATACTACAGCGTAGCCTCATATGTGTGCGCGTGTGCAAGTGCCAGAGAAGATCCTACAGCGTAGCCTCATGCGTGTGCGCGTCTGCAAGTGGCAGAGAAGATCCTACAGTGTAGCCTCATGTGTGTGCGTGTATGCAAGTGCCAGAGAAGATCCTACAGAGTAGCATCAAGCGTGTGTGTGTGTACAAGTGCCAGAGAAGATCCAAGAAAAAACAAGCACGTGACACCAAAAACAGCACGGCGCGCCGGTAAAACTAGACCTTCGGAAGAAAGCCTTCTGGGACACCATTTTCGTGCGAGATTCTGTCGAAAACAGGAGATCGAAGGACTTTGGTGCTGTAAGGGTCGCCAAAGTTGCCGGACACCCCGGAGACCACCTTGAATGAACACCAGGCCTTAACCAATAGCATAAGAATTTGAAGTGTGGCCATATACTGTTTAGGGTAACCCATACCAGATCCATCAGAATCATCACCATGAATTCAGGGCCAAACCAAAGGTACTCTTGCCCAATCCTTGTTAGCTCCAGCCAGAATGTGAGCCCAGCAGCATAGGGCGGTGGCCCTTTGAAGTGGCCTGCAGGTGGGAAGCAATGCGGCATCAGATCCAACTGGCGACATGCACCACGCTCTTAACATGCTGCAGCTGAACAAGCAGCAGAAGTAAATGCGGCACAAGCGCGCTGGGTGAATGAGAAAGTGGCAGGGCAGATTGCAGGAGCCAAGTTTGCATTTTGTCACGATGCGGTGAAGAATGCGACTTTGTCTAGGATGCCCTCACTCTGCGTGTCCTTTGAAGCCTTCAGCACACAATGCCATGCACCCCTGGAACTTACACTCTTCAAAAACTGCTGCAGTGTCTCTTTTTCCCAACTGCACTGTGACCTTCTGCTTGTCTCCAGGCTTCAAGATGCCAACCTTCTCCAACTCAATGACGATGGAATCGCGATCTTCCTGAGGAACCTTCACAAGGTCAAAGCTGTTGGTTTTGTTTGGCGTCGGCACAGCTAGCGTAGCTGAAATCAAAAGCTTTGTGACTTTGGCAGCCAGCACATAAGATTTTTCTGTTGTTGGATGAACCTCTCGCACTTTTTCATTCAAGCGCCATTGCGGCATAGAATGGTTCTTCTGCTTGAGGATCCAAGCCAGCATCTTCGTCATCGTGTCTTTGTGATTGCGCAGGTCAGCGACTTGGAGAGGTTCGTCTTTCAGCCGCTTCGCCGGCGGCTCATCATCACTGGCCTCAGGATTTCCAAGAGCAACCTGTGTCAACACATGCTGTTCTTCCGGCTTCTTGTGCGGAGAAGTTGCGACAGCTTGTGATGCACCAGGATCAGGTTGCGAAGGCGGAATGTCGGCGTGCACAGCAAGAGCCTGAATGTCAGGCAGCTTGTCAATGGCAATCGGGAAGCCTTTCAGAAGTTTGACCAATGCTTGACACACAGTGTCTGCATTGTCCTGGTCAAGGTTGGGAAGGGGCCCTTCATTGAAAGGAACGGCAGCGCGCAACTCCTGAAAAGAGACTTCTGGGGAGAACAGTTGCAGCCGGTTGGCCGCCAACATGAAGTTGGGATCATCTTCTGCGTACTTTACCTTTGCCCAGTTTCCATGGCCGATGGCAATGAAGCCAATCAGGGCGAGAAGGATGAGGTCGCAGTGCTTGGCATAGACTTCGGCATCCGTGTTGCTGGCATCGAAGACAAAGCGTTTGTAGGTAACCCTGTCCATGGTCAGAAAGGTGTTGCCGGGGTCAATCAATGTGGCAGCAGCCTGTCAAAGGAAGGAGGACACGGGCTTTACCCAAATCCCCTCTAGCACCCAGTGGTAACAGTTATAGAAACTTAAGACGCACAGAATTCATCACACTCTTAAGGCACGACGAATGAAAAACCCAACCGCCCAACCGCCTTTTGCAGCTTCTCAGCAAATGCTTGGGCGCTCGGCTGCGGCAAGTCCGTCTTAATAAGACGGTCTTTTCGAAATTCGTCCAGCTTTTGAGCAGCGTTCGTGCTGAAGTGGTAGACGGATTGGAACCACCTGGAAAGAGAGAATGCTGCATCAACGGATTGCTGGGTAGCACATGGAGGCACGGAGCTTGGCAGAAAATCACTGAAGAAAACATCTGGATTTACCGCGGCCACTTTCCGCACCATGTCTTCTGGGGAAAGGTTCTGCCATTGATCAGCGGGGACGCTTGCCAAGGACAAGAGGTGGAGCAAGCCTTGCTCAAAGATGTGGATGCCTGGGATGAACTGAAGGGGCCTGGTCTTGTCTTTGCTGAGAAGTGCTGCCTTGGCATCGCCTGCTTTCTTGGCCTTACGGTAATCATCCACCATCTCATTGAAGTCTTGTTGGAAACTGCTAACAACGCCCTCTGCAAACTCCATGGTGTGAATTCCTCGGATCTCGGAGTACCTGCTTGCGGCAGGCCCTACTTCATCGTCTCTCCGACGCTGATAAGGAAAAGCCGCATCAGCAAGCAAGAGCAAGTTGGTTGCAGCCTTGACAATCTCATCATAAGAAAGGTCATTGAAATAATTGGGGTCTTCGAGGAGCAAGTTTTGCATTTCCTGGGCAGACAAGTTCTCTGGGCAGACCTTGCTGCAGACTGATAAGAAATGACCGATCAAGAAGCGTGGGAGTCCCGCAACGCTGTCGCCTTTCTTCCCAATGTCCAGCAACTCTTCGAGGTGCATCAGGACAGCGCCCACAACATGCGGGTTTCGCACATGAAAGCGAGACTGTCCTGTGGCGGGGTTGTTCTTGTAGATGTCGTGGTCGAGAATTTGGTTCAAATCCTCCAAGCCTCCGCCTTTGGCATGTTCGAACGCTTCAGAAAGCCAAGACTTGCCTTCATGCAAGGCCAGGAATGCACGCCCACCTTGCTTCTCGAGGAGGCATCCCAATCCTTGGTCGCAAAGTGAGAAAAACATGGTTATACAATGTTATACATGGTTGTACTTTTTGTGGCGGTGGCGGTGAAGAGTTAGCAGGATCTCTGCTCGCAGAAGTTCATTGAAGCATGCTTAGAGTAACATTCATTACATTGCAGAAGTTCACAAGGTTCCTCTGAAGCAATACTTGTTTCTAGCAGCAGTCAGAAGGAGAGACATGAAACGGTAAAAAAAATGAAACAAAACACAAGGCAGCCCAAGCGTCCATAGAAAGTTCCTTTGTTCTGCACAGAATCTCGTTTTTCTGGCTTGGTTGGTGGAACTGGCTCTTCAGCTTCAGGGTCATTGATTGCAAGCGCTCCTTCGTAAGCTCGCTTTGCTTCTTCATAGCGGCGCGAGTCGATGCGATGCCTGGCAGCATCATGCTTGCTTTTGATGGTGTCGAAGTAGTACAAAACTTGAAGGACCAGCCACAGGGCAATGGATTTGCCATCCCCAGGTTCACCATGCTGAAGCATCAGGATGTTGGGGAACTTTCCTAAGATGCCTCCAAAACGGACTTGAACGGCGTTCAGGACCAGTGACAACATGATGAGAAGGTGCACAAAGGCGCAGCTCTGATGCAAGCTCGTGGCCCGCGCTAGGGCCCCAGCGAACTGCCAAGAACAGGGCACAGTTTGGGCCATAGTCTCGGAAGGGAAAGGGCACATGGTCTCTAAGAGCTTTGTGGCTTGGCGCACATCTTTGCCATTCATGGTGCGCTCCTCAGGCATCGCTGGCGTGTATTTCCCTCTTTTCGCAGCACGTGCTCCACAAACCAAAGCCAAGCAGAGGAAGTGTCGAAGTGGGGACATCTTACAATGCGTGCACCGAGACAGAAACCTTGGATGCCTCCGTGAGGGCAAGGTGCTTTTGAGCAGAGCCGGCTCTTGCAGCAACTGAGTTTGGCTTTGGAGATGCATGTGTTCCTGGGGCAGGTAATCAACACATTTAAATACGCAATGTTCCTGGAGGACACCATCTTCAGTTTGACTCTTGGGATGTTGCCTACGTTGCAGAGCTGACTTGCACAGCTTTTGTGAAGCGCAAGCCTTGCGACAGTGCTGCATTCTGTCAGCATCAGCGCACCGTGCATCAAACCTGCTTCAGGGAGGCGCGGATCTGATGAGACAAAGGCCATTTACTGCCTGGTGACTCTTCCTATTCACGGCGCAAGACTCAACGCAACCAAAAAAACAAGTTGACTTTTATTTGGCTTAATGCGATTTGAAGCAGGTAGCCCACTGCTGCATCACTTGCCCAACTTCTTTCCACCCAGCTTCGCCGATTCGCCCCAGGTGGCGCACCACGTCACATCATCAACATCATCATTATCATCAGCAGGAGCATCAGTGACATGTCCTTTGCGCCTTGTATACAGTTGGCCAGTGAAGGCTCCGAATGTCGCAGCGCTGTATACCTTGGCGCCGCGGATGGGTGACAAGCGGGGTACTATACGCGTTCCCACAGGAACAGAGCACACACTTTAATTAGGCTTGATCATGATGGATGTGTTTTAAAGCACTTTTCTATCTGATTTGCAAGTCAAATGGGGCGTTTAGAGGCAGATAAAGATGCCAATGCTGTCAGGGACCTTCTCCGCCTACCAAGTTGCTTCGCCTTGGCTCATGGGCAACGGGAATGCTAGACATTCTCATACAGGCAGTCGGTGGGCAAAAGACAGGGATTGCCATCCAGCAACGATAGGGTAAAGACAGACAACACAGCTAAACCACTGGACCTGCGGGCTACGGCGAACCAGCTTGAATCTTTTTTTTTTGAAATGCATGTTTTTACCCTATGATATTCTCTTTCCCATACCGCCTCTTGGCAACACCTCGCAAAGAATAGAGAAAGCAATGCATCCCTCCAAAAGTCTTTGCGCAAGGATGGCGCGTTGCTGAATTGAGTTTCTTCATTGCGTCGCGGAGTCAGACTGACCGGCTCCTTTGATGGCAAGAAACCGTTTGGATTGAGAGTACCACAAGGCAAATGTATGGTTGAACACAAATGATAGGGAACTCGTCGCGCCGCAGCCTTTCCCACATGCGGGTGTGATTAGTTTGGGCAGGCGGGGAGGACCCCAAACTCAGCAAACATGATTTTGAAACATTTTGGACATGATTTGGAAGGAAGATGCAACTGTAAGAGCGGGCACCTGTACCCAACGGTCATGAATCCGATTCCTTTTCCACTGTTAAAGCGGGCAACCTTTCATCACAGGATGGTCAGTATGGACGTGCTCAAGTCCCAACTTCATTGCCCAAACGCTTGGATCATGGAACCTTGGGGCCGGTCACTTCAACCCTTCACATCTTAATGCAGCCAGCAACTCCAAGTGGGCTGCCTTCTCGTCCGCCAACTGAAACCAAGCCAGAGGCTTTGCTGTCGCACCTTGGGCTTGGACCATGTACCTGGAAGGCAGGCGAGATGTGCAAAAATTTGGGGCGCTTCAAATGGGAGCTTCAAACTGACCACTGCCAGATTCAAATAGAACGTTACCATTGAATAACGATTCGCCACTCCAAACGTTGACATAGAACTTTTTGAGCAATTTACCGGGTATTGGCTTGGAACCGCCCATATGTCAATGCATCACCGGTGTCTTGGAGTGATTACTGATTCGAAACATTGTTTTCTTCCGTGTATCACGGTGTCTTGTCAGCATGACATCGTCAGGGTTTGCTTACAATGACGGAATTGGCGGGCCACGCGGGGAAGTCTGTCTTTCACA